TTTGATCCCCAACACTACAAAGAAAACTTCATGCTTTAATTTTGTCATTGTTTCAAATCTCCATGTGTATCTTTAACATATTGGTCCTGTCTTTACTGAATGAATATTCCTGTTTTATGCTGTTTTTCTGTGCCAGGGATGGAACCAGGGCCTTGCACATGTTGTACAGTACTCTATCACTGAGGTACACCCCAGCCCTATCTCTGGATGTTTTACAATTGCAGTTAAATAAGAGGGAGAGGTAGAAACAAAAATCCATTCACACATTGCTCAGTGTCTTTTTTCCCTCCTGAATGGTTTTCTGAGGCTGCGAATTACCATCAAGACCATGCAGTTTTAAACATAACTCAATGTGGGTGAGGCTGGCTTCTTTTTTTCAGCACTGGGTAAGCCAGGGCCTTCACACTTAGCTACATCCCCAACTCTTTATTTTTTTATTTTGAGATAGGGTCTCACGAAATCGCTACATTTCCCAGGAGGGACTCAAAACAGCAATTGTCCTGCCTCAGCTTCCCAGAATGCTCAGATTATACTGAAGTTTCTTTAGTAATGGTGTTTAGGAAAGATCATGAACTCAGAGCAGCCAAAAAAAAATCAGTGTCAAAGTACTTATTGAGTATTAAAGAGGTCAATGGTTGGGAGGGGAAGAAACAAGAAAAACACTAGGGGTATCGCTGGTCTCCAAGAAAATGATTTCCCTCCTTTTAACAGAAAGACTAAATCATATAAGAGTTTTCAAAAAGTCACAAGATTTTTAAGTGTTGTAGGAGAAAGTTACAAAGGTACTGGAAACTGTCAAGAATTTGAAAGGTCAGGTCGAGATTTGGGTTCATTTCAAACTAAAGTTTCCAAATCCTCGACTTTTTAAAATTTTAATTTAGAGACAGGGTCTCACTAAGTACCTAAATAGGGCTGGGTTCAAATTTGTGATCTCCTAGGTAAAGAGCCCAGTAGAGGGGAGGGCAAATAGAGTCCAGGCAATTTATTGCTGTGGGAAGAGGTAGCAGTTTCTAAGCCGGTGAAAAGAGACCTGTACCAATGGGGATCCTCTCCTATTTTCCTTTTCTAGGAGGAATCAAGGCCACTTATTAGGCAGCTCTGGCAGGGAGGTGGGCAGCAAATGACAGAGAGCTGCCCAAGGTGGTGAGGCAGGGGAGAGTCTGGTGAGAAGGACGCCTTGGTTTGGAGCCTGTGCATCCCCAGGCTGGGGTTGCCCTGGAGATGAGAAACATTGTGGGAGGAGGAAGCCAGAAAGATGAGGCAGTCACATGGGTTTAAATGTGTGCTAGATACACGAGTCAGGAGAGCAGTGGAGATGGCACTGTGAAGGTGGTGACACAAAGCTGGAAATGGAAATAATGTGGATGGTGGTGAACAGCAAGAGACCAAGTACTGCCTTCACCCAGGACACCAGTGAGATAGAAGCCCAAAAACTCTGACAGTATTCTCCCTCCAAATTCATCTATACATATATTTTTCTAATAACTCTCTAAATATACTTATTAAAATATTTATATTTTATATATTTAGAATGAGATTTTTTTTTCTGTTACTAGGGATTTAACTCAGGTAGTGCTGAGCTACAATGCCCTGCCTTTTCACAGTGTTTTTTGTTTTCTTTTTGTTTGTTTTTATTTTGAGACAGAGTATGGCTAAATTGCCCAGTCTGGGCTCGAATTCAGGATCCTCCTGCCTCAACCTCCTGAGTAGCTGGGATTAGAGAGGTGCATCACCATACCCTGCTAGAATAATGAAAATATCCTTGTAAGTCTCTCCAAATATTTTGTAGAGTAATGTGGGGGTTTAAGTGAATCAATGATCTTTAAAAGTTTTACTGTACCTGATAAGGTGTTTTGAAAAAAATAGACAGGTGTGGTAGCACACAACTGTAATTCCAGCACACAGGAGGCTGAGGACCAAGTTTGAGACCATCCTGAGCTATACAGTGAGTTCAAGACTAGCCTGGTTCAAGACCTTGTTACCCTCAAAAAAAGAAAAACAGTCAACCTAAAAGAAAAAATAAGTACTCAATAATTATTATTTTGCAGCACTGGGGATTGAACCCACCATATTAGGGAAGTACTCCTCTGCTGGGCTACATCCCCAGCACAACACTAATTATTTTGACAAATTTTTCCATGAGCCAGACACTATTCAATATGCTTTCCAAATATCTTGCTTAATAGCTGCAAATTTATTAGTTATAACATTCATTTTACAGATAAGGAAATGGAGGCCAGAAAAATCTAGTAATTTGCCCAACATCACATAGATAATAAAGACAGGCTAGAATTTAAGAGTTGAAATATATCTGATCCTAGCACTCTGTAAGGCTGAGGCAGAAGGGTCATAAGTTCATGCCCAGTCTGGGTAACTTAGTGATTTAGCAAGATCCTGTCTCAAATTTTTAAAAATCTGAGTAGAGAGAAAAGTGAATGGAAAATAAAAAAGTCTCAATAATATGTAGCTCCTGGCAGAGATCAACTTACTGAGACAGTCTTCAGTCTTGAGCATATATCACAATCACCCAAATGGGTTCTTAAAACACTGTTCACTGGACCCCAGCCTCAAGTTTTCAACTTCACATTCCTGCCACATGGCCTGCTAATTTGCCTCTCTAGCAAATTCCCAGGTGCTGCTGGGAAACAGGTAATGAGACCCCTGGCTTCATGGGTTTCTTTGATTATGCCAACTAAACACCCTTACCTGTTGTGAACAGGAAGTTCACAACTCAGAGCTGCAGCTGTAACACTGATGTGAGTCTTCCTTCAGTATTAACTCACAACCCCCTCCAAGCCTGGACACGTGAGTGTTGGGGGGAGTGGGTGATGGGTGACTCTCCAATGCCCAGGTTACCAAGTTTTCTGGCAAGGCCATGTCTTCCCTTACTATGGTATCCTACTCCCAGTGGTCTCATCCTTGCCTAGAAGAAACTTCCATCATCACCTCTCCTGTTCCCAGTTGCTTTTAGACCCTGGGGAGGGTTCAGGAATGCTGGGTCCTAAAAGCTTATGCAACTCTTGGGAGGGCCCCTTTGAGAACAAGAACACGGCCGGGGATTTAGCTCATGGTTCTGCCCACCTGCCTTGCAAGCCCAAGGTCCCGAGTTTGATCACCGGTACCAAAAAAAAAAGAACAAGAACACAAGTTTTAAAATGCACAACTAAGTGCAGGGCCTTGGGAAGAACTTGTGTTGTGCTAGAAAGGAGTCAGGCTGCCTAGACCTCGTTAGCTTCATGAGAAATTGACCTCCCTTCAAACATGCCTGTATATATCTAAGCTCCAATTAAAGACATATGCAAGTTATTTCCCACGGTGCTCTTGTGCTTCAGGTTAACAGCAGGATGTGGCTAATTCCCGCCTAAGAGAACCTGAGCATTTCATGGTAGAAAGGCTTGTTTCCCTTGAACCTGGCAATGGGGGAAGCATTACTGCTTGCACACTGGAAGCTAAGCTTTGACTCAGCCAAAGCGCTTAGTTACATATCCTTGGGCTCGATTTCTTTTGAGTTAAAAGCTTTCCAGGAAATTCTTGCCTTGGGTATGTACCAAAAGCCAAGTTAGTTACATAAGGAACAAAATTTGATTATTCAATTTTGGTACTAATATTGAGAAAAATGAAATTACTTTTAAAATCATTAGGGCAAGGCCACTTTTCTGTTTTTATTTTCTGGCACTGAAGAGTGAACCCAGGGAGAGCTGAACTACATCCCCAGCCCTTTTCACTTTTTAATATTGTGATAGGGTCTCCTTACATTGCCAAGGCTGGCCTTGGGCTTGTGGTCCCCTTGTTTTGGCCTCCTGAGTAACTGGGATAACAGGTGTGTGCCATCATGCCCACCAAGGTCCTTTAAGACTACTGCAGAGGGTGGCATCTTGATATCTGTTTTTTAAGTCTTTCTGAAACCTTACTTTACTATCTAGTTTGTTTTAAAATGTACTATGGGCAAACTTGGCCCTTTAATTGCTCAACAAAGAAGCAAGCAAAGTGAAATAAGTCTAAGCGAGGTGGGAGAAGTTACTAAAATGAGCCAAGAGTGACCCCTCCATAGAGCTTAATTTAAATCTTGGAGAAGACACCAGCCACACACGTCAAGACCCTCAGCCTGAGATGAAGGGCATCTAAGAGGCGTGAGGTAACTTTGTTAAAGACTAAAGGAGACAGCGTTTGATTCGGAACTTTGAAGGGAATATGTGAATAGAAAACGTCTTAAGAATCCAAGACAGAAAAACCCAGCGCAACCAATGGATATTTTTTCTAAACAGTAATCTCGCTGCAGGGTCACTGCGGTTGCTCGCACACCTGAGATTCCTGCGGCAAAGCAGGCACGAGGATTCCGAGAGACGCCTCCTGGGTAGTTTTGGAGAATGTAAAGATAAATAGAGCAGTCTCTAAATTGCATCAGACGTGGGAATTCTCGTCGTTTAAGAAGCGACCAGGATGAATCACAGGAATCAACTTCCAGCGCCCCGCCCCGCCCCTCCCCACCCCTCCCGGCCCCTCCCCGCCACCAGGACGCGTACTCAGCCCTCTGGAAGACTTTTGCAGTGCAGGACAGAACGCCGCGTTAGTCCCGGAGTCGGAGGCGTGGCCGATTCTCACCGCCCCACCCTGTCCCCGCCCACTCGCCATGGCGGCTGCGCACCGTGGCCGCCCCCTCCATGTGATCGCCGTTACTGACTTTGCGAAGCGTGAGCCACCATCATAAGTCCTGGCGGCCAAGCCGGGGCCCGCCTCTCTCTTCCTCCCCGGCCCGGCAGCGGTGACGGCGTGGCGTTGGGCCTCCTCAACCTGTCCCGGCCCCGTCTGGCAGGTGAAGTCGTGAGCCTCCAAAAGCGAGCCGAAGAGTCTAGGCGCACAGAGCGTGGGGCCGACGTACGGACCAGAGGGCCGCCCAGGTGTCGCCGCAGCGGAGGCGGAGCTGAGGGCCCCGCCCCGCCCCTCGCAGGCCAGCCCCTGGCGTCCGCGGCCCTTGCCCGTTTCCAGTATGGCCGCCCGCCGTGTCTGACCCGCGGCCTCTCCGTTCCGGCTCCTCGTAGGCGATGCCGATGCCGAGGCCGTGACTGACACGCTCGCTCACACAAACGCACGGACCCAGACCCGCGCCCAGAGTCCGAGCCCTGGGCCCGGAACCACTCTCGCTCCCAGAACCGCGGCCAGAGTCCGGACCACGGCTCCCGCGCCGTCGCCGCCTAGCCGAGAAGGGCTGCGCCGGACTTGGAGCGCGGCGGCCCCCGGCCGGCAGGGATGGAGAAGCGGGCGGGAGGAGGAGCAGGAGCAGCCGCCGCCTCCACGTCCGCCGGGGCCGGGCTGGATCCAGCAGCCGGCCGCGGCTGGGGCCCGCGGAGCGCGGCCGCTGGCCTCCTGGGAGCGCTGCACCTGGTGATGACTCTGGTGGTGGCCGCGGCGCGGGCCGAGAAGGAAGGTGGGTGTCACCGTCAGGCATCCCCGGGCTGGCTGTCACTGCGCTCTCGCGGAGGCCGCGGCGAGGCCGCGACGGGAGGGAGGCCGCGGCGAGCACCGCGCGAAGTTGCCCGGCGGAGTCCCATCCGGAGCCGGGAACTTGCTCTGGACGTCGGGCGCACGGAGTTGCTCTCCGCTCCGTGATTCCTTCCCTTTGGCTCGCCTTGTCTACTGTCACCGCAATTTCAAAACTTTCTGAGTTCTCGTACATTTTTGCCACTTGGCCCGCTAGATAGGAGGGGCATATATTTAGGTTTGACTGCTGTTAATAGGTAAACCTTAGGACACTTATTTTCTCTGGGTTGCAGTTTTAAATAACGGCGTGCAGTAGGTGCTCACTTGAAAATGTCGTAGTGAAAATAGCCAGACTGGTGGAAAGGCTTCGAAACACAGCTTGCAAAATTTAAATTTGTTCAGACATTTCTTTAGCTTCTTTGTGCACTTTCTCTGTGCGGTAGGGATGATTGTTTCGTTTATCAATAGCTCTAAATACAATTCTGTTTAGTTCTCTAGTAAGCTATTGAAAGCCAGTGTGTGTGTTTTTAAAGATACTCGTGTAATTCGGTGCCTTTCTTGTGTAAGACTTTAAAAAACAAATGTCAGGTTTTCACCTTGCAAAACTTTAAACTATAATTTACAGTTAAAGGCTGGCTCCTATTTTGTAAACACATTGGTATTGTGTGGCTGTAAAACTGGTGCTTTTGACAGGGTTAAAAATTACTTTGTCCTCTTGAAGACCCAATGTGTCATTTTGTCTGTACTGCCTGTGGAAATGAGTGGTCACAGAACCTTTATGAAGAATTCACTCAAAGTGAGCGATTTTTTTTCTGGTGGGGTGTTAACGAAAACTTGTTTAGCTTCCGTTTCACATTAAGCTAACTGCAAGAAAATAACATATTGCCATTGTAACTTTGAGTCGGATGTCCTACTTTGTAACTATAGTCATTTACCTTTTATTGTTATTGAGGGCAACGGTATGTGCAAACAATTAGTATTGAAGTTTAAATGTGCTTCGGTTTACTATTCATTTATTTTTGTTTAAAATATTGCATTCCCTCATTTTACTCTGTAGGCAACCTTAGCCTGGATTAAGGTAGGTGGAAATTATGTAAAGAATTGCCATCTGTAGAAAAGATTGACAGACAAGCATGTTTCCAGAATAAAATACTGCTCCTTTAAGACTAGCCGGGCCTGGAGTTGTCCTAGTTCATCATTGTTTACAGGTCTGCAGTTAAATGTTCTTGTGGGTGACCATAGTACTCAGTGCTTGGGCATGCAGTGGGTGTTCAATAAACCCCCTGTAGTGCAATAATTTTTTTTTTTTTGGTACCAGGGGTCGAACTCAGGACCTTGTGCTTGCCAGGCAGGCGAGGTGCCACTCAGCTAAATCCCTGGCCCTGTAGTGCAATAATTTAATGGGCGTGTTTCCTGGATCTCTGTATATAGACCTGGAGAATATTGTATGGTTTATTTTCTCTTCCTTTGCTTGCCTTCCACAGTGCCAGGCACACAGTAGGCTCTTAGCTTTTGTTTGCCTGAATGACTATCTTCACATGCTATTGGTGCAGGGAAGTGAAATGATTGAGTCTATTAAAGCATTAAGTTTATTATCCTTGTACTGCTGCTTATTTTTCCAACAGCCATTTTATATGCTAATTCTCTAGGTACAGTTAAGTAAACAAACCTCTTGTTTGAGAACTGTTAGCCTAAAATATATTTGATAATTTCCTATTTGCATAGTTTACAAGTTTTAATGCACCGCTCTGATATCCATAAATGTGTTTAAGGGCTGGCCAGGAGAATAGCTGCCAGGTATTAAGTAAAAAAAGAAGTGGTTGAGTAAGCCAGTGGTCTTGGCTGAATCAGACATCCTTTGTAGCCCATGCTGTATCTGTATGAAGAATTTGTATGCTCAAAGTGTAGTCACTCAAGATATTGACAGGATTGCTGCTACTATAGAGCATAGGCCTCTGCTCAACACCAACAGATTTGGTTCTAATTAAATATTCCCTGTAGATATCTCCACAAATGGCCTTTGCTTTAAACCTTACTGATCAAATCCCAGTATTGTTTTTGAGTAAGAAGTGCAGTTGATTTTCTCACATGATTGTGACACTGTTTGGCATATGATGTGTCACAAATATAATACTTACCCCAAATGAGTGCTTTTTGAGTTTTTCAGCAAATCTGGGCAGGTTTTTAAAGATGACTGAGTTCAGCTTATCAATTTACATCCCAAGGGATTTTGGTGTTTTAAGTATCAACTGATTTAAAATGTCAAAGTTAAGATTTATCTGCAGTTTTAATGATGATTCTGTGGATATCTTTTGTTTGTGTATTTTTCCTGCATTGCAGTAGAATTTGTCTAGAAAATCTCCAAAACAAGATAAAACTTACTGTCTACCAAAGAAAAGCTGCAGACATAGCTAGATTACCTAATCCAGTTTTTCATGTTCGAACTGGATGTTAATTTTCTCAAGTGGAAATTCTGAGCCATTTCTTAACACCTATATGTCTTAACATCTCCTGTATGTTAACATTTGTCTTAATTGATCTTTATTGATCAGTTAATTATTGATCACTAACCCAGAGGAAAGGGACCTTTGAGACTATTTTGGCTACCTGGAAAGTTGGTAAGGACTTTGAATAGTTGCCAGAGGTAGAAGTTGCTGTAGTTATTACAGACAACTAGCTTGTTCTGGGTTGGTGTCAAGATTTTTCTTAAGGATAGAATCTAGACCCTGAGAACAGTGATGTGTGTCTGTAGTGAAAATGTATATTAAAAAATATGGATAGTGAAATATGAGTGTAAAAATAGGGATAATTTTTAGTAATCTTGAGTTATAAATCAGCCCATTATTATGAACAAGTAAGAGTTTCAAAACAGCATCTTAAATCATGTAATACTGTTTCATTGAGAAATGAGATTTTAGAAGGCATAGGGCTTTTTCGTTTATTATAAATGAGAAGCTACAGTTTAGGTCTCTAGTAAATATAAAAATTTGGACAATTTTCAGGAATATGATCATTTGGGTCATGAAAAATTTAAATCTGAATGTCACATGTGTTATCATTAATGGGCAGTTAATAGCAAGGTAAACTGCAATTAAGAGTAAACTTTTTGCCGGTATATTGTATTTTTATGTACAGATTTTTGTTTTAAGCTACATTTGTGCCATAATTGCAGCAGAGTGATACAAAGTATTTTCTTCATAAACCATTAGAACAAAGTGCTTTGGAATAAAGACCAGGAAAAAAAACGATTAAAAACCTAATAGTGATTTGTCTTAGAGTAGTAGGATTGATTGGGAGATACGCTTCTTCTTAACCCAAATTATTGTTTTATAAAGATATATTTTAGGCCAGGGATTTAGCTCAGTGGTTTCACCGCTGCTGCAAAAGCACAAGGACCTGAGTTCGATCCCCGGTACCAAAAAAAAAAAAGATATATTTTAAAGTGTCTTAAGAGTGAATTGTTTTAAGATTTTGTGTGGGGCCCTGGGGATTTAGCTCAGTGGTTCCGGCGCCGGCCTTGCAAGCGCAAGGTCCAGAGTTCGATCCCCTGCACGAAAAAAGAAAAAAAAAAAAAAAGTGAACCTTAATTATTGGGCTAGGGATTTAGCTCAGTGGTTTCGCCGCCGCCTGCTGCGCAAGCGCGAGGACCTGAGTTCAATCCCCGGTACCAAAAAAAAAAAAAAAAAGATTTTGTGTGGGGATATAGTGACTACCTTTTAATTTAGGACCTATTAAATAGAATATTACTTAATAAGTTCTTCACTAATGAACTTCCATTGCTTGCTTTTACTGAAAGTCGTATTGTCAAGAGTACTGGAGTCCTGTAGGTGGGAAAAAGTATGCTCTTATTTCTCTTGCTAGTAACTATTTTCTTCCTCTTTCTAATTTTTTTTTTGGGGGGGGGGTCTTAGGGATTGAACCCAGAGCCTTTGCACTGAATGACATCCTGAGCCCTTTTTATTTTTTGAGACAAGGTCTTCTTACTAAGTCACTAAGTTGCCTAGGTTGGGCTCGAACTTGTGATCCTCCTGCCTCAGCTTCTCAGGGTGCTGGGATTATAGGCTTTCTCCACCATACCCAACTCCTCTTTCTAATTCTGAGTGGATCCTGATAGGTACCTATCAGAAAGATCAGCTCTGGGAACAGATGTAAAATCATTTAATCTTTTTTTCCAAATTAGGGATGTCAACTACTCTTGGAGGAAAGTCTTTGCTGGGTGCTTGATATTTTAGATATTCTCTCTCATCTTCCTGTGGCTTGAGTTTTCTAATTGGCTATTCCAGACCAAGAGGCCTTTTTTCCCTTATTACGTGTTATAAGCTGCCACTATTTCGTTTCTAAACTTTGTACTTGGTTATCACTGGGCCCTCACTGCCTGTTGCTGCGCTCTGTGTCTTCTTCCATATGTGTATCTATGCACACCACACGTCTGAGCCAGAATTGTCTTGTGCTGCCTTCAGTTTCTCATTTTATTAATGCCACTATTGTTTCTGTGCCACATTGGACTCATTTTTAACCCTTTATCAAGGGCATCAGTGCCTGTAACACCATGCCTTGATCAGCTCTCCCAACACCTTCATCCTGGGGCACCCCAGTGGGCTCTCACATCCTACCTTTCCCCATTCTGTTCAGTCCTGCTTGCCCCCTGTGAAGTCATACTGTCTTTGTTACTCATTTATCATTCATTGAGACACTTCTTCATATACTGCCTTGTTTAGCTACATGTAAGATTTCGTAGGTGTCATTCTTCACCCAGACTAGAATTTCTATTGGGCAGAACCTGTGTCAACATCTGGAGCATGTACTTAGCTTTCAAATGAATATCTGGTCAAATTGACCTCATCCTCCACTTTTTGTACTTGTGACCTGGGTTTATAGGGTAGGTTAAAAACTATAATGCAGGGGGTAGATGCCATTAGGAAATCTATTTTAATACCACCTTTCCCC